TTTTTGGTTTGTTTTTTAAAGATCTGGGGTCTTCCCCTCCCCCAACCCAGAGTGAGAAGGCTGGAAGGAGAGACAGTGAGGATGGGACGGAGGGGCATCCTGCCCTTGTCAATATGCCGAGGCCAGTGGACGGAGGGCGCAGCGTGTCGTAAGGAAGTGACGACGAAGAAGAAGTACCAGGGAATCACACAGCATGGAACGTCTGGGGTTTGGGGGTCATCAGGATTAGCGTTTAAGCCGGAAAGCCTAGTTTTGCCCTGCACCAAAACCAGAATCTCCCCTCTACGCTTCTCGTTTGCTTCTCGTTTACATAAGAAACAGGAATGAGAATGTCAGAGCCTCTCTTGCTTATCATCAAAAGGTTGGGGAAATCGATTCAAGAAATTGAGCATGTGACCTCAAAGCTTTTCCTACTATTAATCCCAGTCCGATGGGATGATATTTGGTAGGAAACGTGATCCCGGGCATCAGTCCCACTCATGCTATAAAAATAACGCAGATACAGGGAATGTGCTGACCTAAGGAGCCCTTGAACACAGTTAAAACAGTGGCTGATAACACTCTAACGACAAGTGTGTGAGCGCCGGGCGGCTGGCTTCCCATCCCAGGAAAGCGGGAAGACGCTGCCTGGTTGAAGGCAGCCGCTGTCAGATGTCACTGGCCTTTGAAAGGAAGGGGGTGTAATGAGTTCCTCCTCGGGTCTGTGCCCCCAGAGGTGTCTGCTCATGCCCCTCAGTGCGTGGGGTGTGGACTCAGCGAGATGGCGGGAGGGTGGGGAGGAAGGGAGGGTGGGAGGGAGCATGCTTGGCCTTCCCTGCCTCCCGGAGGGCGCCGAGGCCCACCGGGTGGAGGCCTCAGGGCCTACCTGATCCCCCACTGGGTGGGAAGGAACTCTAGGGGTGCGAGGGCAGCCCCCCTCACCTTCAGTTTGGAAAGGTTCCTTTTCTCCTCTGGGATAGACGGAAACAGACTGTGGGTTCTGCTCCCATCCCAGAAACCGAGATAAATAATTAAGCCTCTCAGAGTTTTTAAACCACCTTAGCCTGCAGATCAAAACATGCTTAAAAAACTAAGATGTCCATGCATTTTAAAAAATGGGAGGACGGCGGGGTGGGGATGGGGGGCGGGTCATAAGCAAAAGTGAGAGAGAACAAGGACAAAGGGGAGGGAGGAGGGGGAAGAGAAAAGGAGAAACAGGAAACAAGGGAGTGACGTCAAGCAGCATTCCATGCTATATTAGGGCAGAGTAAAAAGATGGGAAAGCAACTTGGTGGGCTCAAAACAGAATCTTGTTAAAATGTCCTCAAATGTCAAATAAAATTAGAAACCCTGTGTAGCGAGCAGAGCCCTGATTGGCTGGGAGCGGTTCTGGCGCTCCCCTCACCCTCCCGCCCTCCTTCTGACACGGAGGTTTACATCGAGGGGATGAGTGGAAGCATTTTGAACATGGGACATGAAGACCACGAAGGACAGCGAGACACTCCTTCTAACAGGTGGCCGAGCAAAAGGCAGTTGGAACACACACACGGGCCAGAAAACGCCTCATTTTGTAAACTGCTTTTCTTTCTTGAAAGCACATTTTGTCCTACTGATTGAGCATCGGGCCAGATCCTGGCAAAGAGGAAAAGTTGAGGGGAACAGGGGGCAAAACCCATCCGCCTGCCCTCCCCCACGCGGGCTCCGTGTCCAGTCGAGGGGGTGGCCTTTTAAAATTCCACTTCTAGCTTCTCATGGAATTACTCGGAAAGGAAGCTAAGGGTTCTTCCTTATCCTGTTTTGGAATTACGCCCTTTCAACCGGCTAAAACGCATCTGCTAATGCTTTTAGGGAAAACATCCCCACCAGAAGTAAAGTGGCCAGCAGGAAAGTTCTAACGGTGTGCCAAGGGGGGAAAGAACCCCGAGGAATGAGGAGGGACAGCGGCCTGCGTACCGACAGCCGGCCGCTCAGAGCTGCACTTTTGAAAATCGTGTTTATGGGGCAGCTACAAAGATTTTGGGTTTTGCCTGTTTTCTGTAAGAAGGTCAACGAAACTTCTGGCCTCTGAGGAAGATAACCACACCCTGGCTTTAAACAAGGTGCAGGCTGTGTCTGAGGAGGGGATGTCCGTCCAGGCCAATGCTAGTAATGGTAACTTTTGTGGGGGGGGGGGGATGTCACCTCTAACTTGAAGCAAGTGCTTTTGAAACAAAAAAGGGCTTCATCTTCATAAACCACCACTCACCCCCCTCCACCCCCAAATTAGGCGACATACCATATTGCGAGGTGGGCACGATGGCCTCAGCCATACGTTTCTACAGATCGTGAGAAACCCTCTCAGGAGTGAGCCCCGCGATTAGCTAATCCTTCACCATGACAGGGTGTCTCAGAACAGGATTCCGCAGCTAATTATCTTCCTACTCGGCACAAATAAAATTCTGCCACAGATTCGCTGCCTAGATAGGGTAAGCAGAGGCCCTGTCTTCCCTGGGTAGGCCTAATTTAAATACCTAACTCTCTTCATCTAGTTCATCCCGAATCTCTTTTCTGTTGCCCACAGAAGACCCCAGGACTGCGTGGGACTGGTATCTGTCACCTCTGTGAACACTGCCATGTCACAGAACGGGTGACTGCAGAATCTCTCTCAAGGCCTGGAATCCTCGCTCAGTGGGCACAGGGCTGTCTGTGAGGTTCTGTCTCAATAAAGATGCTCGGGGCCCTCTCTCCCCTACACGTTTGGCCAACTCCAGGCACTTCGCCGGTCCCTCGTAAGGCATCGGGGGAGGGGAAGAGACACGGGAGACTTGTGGGCATGCACGTTAATGGGATGGACATCTGATCTAATGTCTAAACACGGAACACATGGCAGAGGCATGGAGGAGAGGGACACGTGACAAGGAGGCACTACAAACAGGGAAGCGTGTTCGGGGAGTTGAGATACCTACCATCATAATATTCCAAATTCAAAGACTGCTTGTATCAGAACAAAGAAACAACAAATTTAACCAAAGGTGGTCAGTAAAGGAAAGGAAATGAGACAGGAACGAGTTGGTATCCCTCCACCAAGAAGGAAGTACCTACACCTTCCCTGAAATTACAGCTTGGGTGGAAACCTGCAGGTGCAACACGGTGTTTAATTTGCACTCTTCTAATTCATTTTGGAAGCAATATATTCTCTCTCTCTCTTTCTCTCTCTCTCTCTCTCAGTATATACAATATATATTTTAATTCTGCAGGCTAGCAACGCTGCAGTATGGGACTGCATGACTCGTCGCTTGCAGCCCTTCAGCTGGTGCACGCCGTTCAATGCCACGCTTCTTTTCAGCACTGTAAAACAATGTCAAGCTAACCAGACTCCTCTGTACAGAGACATGTGGTTTTGAAACGTAAAAGAAAAACGAAACAAAACACAACCAAAAACGCCTGCCCCGGAGCCCTTGTCCAAGGGTCTCGACTCCCAAGTGCACGGGGATGCTACTGCTGCCAGGTGTGAGCTCATTCAAACCTCTGGAAATGGTGGCTCTCTACGCTCAGCACACATGCCACGGACCGGGCCGGTTCCAGGATGCTGGCTTTCAAAGCAAAAGGGTAAGTGCCCGTCCTGGTCTGTTAAGGTTGTGGTCTCAGTCCTACCAGGGATCCGGATATGGTATTTGCAAGAGCAAGGTGGGGGGGAAAGAGAAAGAGGAAGTGGGGAGAGGACACGGCATAAAATTAGCAAGGAAATTTTGAAGGATGAGGATCATTAGTCATTGATGCCGGGGGAGGGGGGGGGAAGTAGATGGGAATGAGGTCAAAATATATCGACACACTAAGGTATCAGAAGGACAGAAGGCTTTGATTTTCCCAAAGGCCTCACAGTGGTAAATATACCTGCATGGTTTGCACCATAAAGTCTGTCGGTCAAGCCCGAACAGTGCCCGACACTTCTTTGGAGTATTTGCATCTGTTAGCATAAGGTAAACACAAAAAATACAACACAATGGTGGGTCATGCTCGGTTGGATGGGTCATCTCAGCTACAGCTGACTCGTCTTCTCTAGCACCTCGGTTCTATTTGATTCTTTCCTCACCAAGGACATGAAAGGAAAAGACTTCTATGAGTCAAAAGGAAAAAAAATAAATAAATAAAACAAAACGATAAAACACACACACGGGGGAAAAAAAAAAGAAAACAACAACCAGAAACCAAAAAACAACGAGGAGAAATAAATAAAAATAGAGAGAGAAGGAGGGGAAAAGGTGACGTTGTTGGCTTCTACCTAGGCCAGGATTACGATGGATGTCACTGAGCCCCATCCTGGACTGTCATGAGGAAGGGGGCTGGCAGGCAACAGTCCCTGGGAGGGGGCGCGCTGGGGCTGGCTGTCGCTGACCCGAGGAGGCACAAATGATGCTGTTTTACAGTGGCATTTTGGCTAGCAGCAGCGGGGAGAAAAAGCACATCCCTCACAGAGCAGTGTCCCGCACCCTCGTGTCTCCTAAGACCAACACACAGAGCTACAAAGCAACAGGCCAGAGAAGGGGGGAGAAAAGGACCGAATAGACCAGCTGCAAACCAGCACAGCGAATCTGGGAAATCTATACACACCTGCAAGGGCCGCACCAGTTATTCTGTTGATCAAGGCCAAAGCGCGCTCGGCATTTCTTAGGAGCGCTCAGGTCTGAATGAGTTCAAGAGAGAAGCGAGCAGAGGAGGAGGACGTGGGAGAGAGAGAGGGAGAGAGAGAGGGGGAAAGAGGGGGGGGG